CAGATCGGCTTGCTTCGACTTGGCTAATGCCGCTACAGGCGGGCCGCCCGTTTCCCGCTTCCACATAGATACAAGAGTCGAGTGGCTTTCCGATTGCATGCCGTTCGGTGAAGGTTTAGGGAGCTCGGATTTGCTTCGCGCGCGGCGAAGCGGATTCTTGACAGAGAGACCACCAAAGGGGCTCTTTGGAGATGTGATAGACCCGCCAGGAGTGCCGCTGACACTAACCGATCCGCTTCGAGTATGTGTGGTGCCAATGGATGCAATGTTGCTGCCCATAGATGCGATGGCGGTGTTGATTGAAGGTGTGGGTTTCTTGCCCCAGCTACCCATTCGGGTTGGTTGAAGGTAACCATCTCTTTGTTTGGAAATACTATCACGCTTCGAATCTTGACTTCCTCTTTCCTCGCTGCTAGGCAAGCTCTCCTCGTCGTTGCCACTGCTGCGTGTGCGTTTGAGGAGCTGAGATGCGCTAGGACGGCGTACCAGACCTCGAAGATTTTCGAGAAGGCTTCCCGGCTTATTAGATTTGCTCTCTCGGCTGACTGAGAGCTTTTTCAGGAGACCGCCACTTGTACCCTGTGCCATGTCGAGATCAAAAATACTGGGAAGACTTCGGCGACGTGTTCCCCATGTTGCGGCTCTCGACAAAACGGAGTCAGTGTCACGATACATACGCTCAAACCTTTCCATGGCAGCCGCTGAGGATTCGGGTTGATGTCTTCCAGGCTGCCCCCGAGTAATCGAAGGGAACATAGGGGCATCAGCCCAGTTGCGGTTGGCAGCAATGATGTCGCGGTCTTGCTGGTTCATTTCACCTTGATCACGGTAATAAGTCTGGCCGGGGATGAACCTATTCTCGGTTTCACGGCCGAAGGGGATCTCACGATCATTCGGATCATCTCGCTGAGAGTTCAATTCGTTGATTTGTTCTCGTGAGTTCTCGTCTGGCTTGACCGAGAGATCATCGAGCTTGTGGGCCAACCATTCACCCACAAGCTCTTTACGCTCATCATCATCCCGATGATTGGCAAGCTCGTTGATGCTTGGCACTTCGTCTGAGGGACGGTTGTTGGGGTCGAGACCGGCTTGGCCTGTTGACGAATTTCGCTGCCATTTGCCGGAAGAGTCGCGGGCTGAGGTGTTGCCTCCAGACGACATCAAATCGCCAGCCGACTCAAATCCACCACGGACTGTAGTAGGACTATCATCAAAGCTGCGCTCGACTGAGGAATGAACTGGAGTCTCGGTATGGGTGCCCCACATAGAGACAGTAACGCGAGGACTGGTCATAGTGGAAACTCCAGGTGCGTCTTCATTAGACAGGCAGCTGCTACTCTGACTTGGTGTCAACTCAGACGTCTTTGTATTAATTGGATGAGGGTTGAAGCGCTTCTGAATCTCTTGTGGTGAAATACAATTGGGTAGTTCAGATGGAGCAGACCCCCTGATAGCATAAGTGAGATCGCTCTGAGGTGGTGTAGCATGCACCGATGCTGTTTGTTCTGGCGTCAACGGATACGTGCCAGAGTCGGCGTCCTTATTTGGCATAAGTCCCTGGCCCAGAGGTTGGTCCAGTCCAGTTATGTCCTGTTCCAAAAAGTTGGGAGTGCCTCCATTGGCATTGAAGTCAGCACCAAAGAATGGATCGTCGTCAAGGTCGCTGAAGTCACTGGGTTGGTATTGACCCAAACTAGAAGTTGAATCGGGTGTCTCAAGATAGTTAATCGGGGAGAGGGAGTCGTTGTCGTTGTGCGACAACGTGGGCAACAGTTGGTTCGAACTGAAAGACGAGGTTGATACGTGCTGATCCGAAGTAGAATAAGGTTGAGTAGAGCGGTTGTCTTTATCATGAAGACTCGCAGGCGATACATCAAACGTTGAAGTCATGATTGCGGTCAAGGGAAGCGGGAGGGTGGAATTATATATGCAATGGGCGAACCTTGACTGGGCGAGCTCCCAATGTCAGATCACAGACAGGAGAACATAGCCTTCGAAGTGATGCCGTAGAGTGAATTGGAGTGGATCAGCTCCAGTGCCTAGAAACTAATCGGAGCTGCAGAAAGAAATGCCGTTGAAATCCAACGGTTCGTTGCGGCTCATAAATGGGGTTATATAGAAGAGATCGCCCGAAGGTATTAAAACAACAAGCGACAGGACTGCAGTGTAGTATCTCTTGATCAAAGAGTTGAGAAGGGAAGAAAGAGGAGGGGAAGTGAGGGCTGAATGAAGTTGGAACGCGGCGTTGCGCGCGAAAGCGGATCAAAGAGCGCTTAAAGGCCCCTGCTAAAAAGGTACAGTACTGCTACCGTGCCTATCCCATGTGCTTAATTAGTCCAGGGTATCAACCCGGCAAGCAAGAGCTTCAGAACCCACAGATAGATAGATGTTAGATGGCTCGAGATATGATATCGGCGCAGGCAGATTCCCATAGATTTGATGTTGTAAACAGCACAGATCAAGTCTCAAGCGGGAGAGCGGCGTTTGCTTGTTACAGCAATCTTGAGGTGAGGATGTCACTGTAAATTGTTGATCGCGATATGGCTCACAGAAGGGGCACGCGATTGAAATGAAGATAAACAGATACAATAGGCATCGGCGGCCTACCAGAGAATATGTGGAGGAAGTGCAAATGTAGAAGGGGAAAAAACAAAGGCAGGGCAGAGGCAGACTGAAGGGCAGACTGGGGAAAATGCTTGTGGCAGAACCAAATAGAAATGAGGCTTGACTAATAAATCAGTGAGAGCTGGCGTTTTGCTTAAGAGAAATCCAGATGAAGGCGGTAAGATCGTGCGGTAGTTAGTTGGTAGGGTCGAGAACAAGACGAGGGGCATTGCAGGCGCAGGCGTGACATACAGTACTATACTGTACATACCTACTTGATGGTACAGCCTGTTTCCGAATCTCCAATCTCATCCCCCCAGTTCAGGCGCTTGTGTGATGCACTCATTGAAGGGTGGAGGACCGCCTGGCTGCAGGGTCATGGGGGCCAGGACGGGCCGCTTGGGAAACGGTTGTTTGACATCTATGAAGACGACATTTGCCAGATGTTGCGGTACTCGGTTGAGACACTAAGTGCTAGCCAAAGACGCTGGTATTCGTCTGTTGTGCCACGACCATCTCAACGAGGCGTTCTCGATGGGGGGCTCTGGTACCGAGGCGCATTTCACCAAGCCCCATGCAGTTTGGACCCTTGTTCCAGCTCCTCTATCATTTGACCACTAAGAGTCTTGAAAACATGTCCCTAGGCGTTTTCCTATTTCCGACATTGAGCATCTAGTGTGTCCTGTTTGTGTAAGTGTTGTGACACTACCGGTGTTCGCTCGACCTCGAAATGGCACGTCAGTCGCCTTTTTGCAAACAGTCACTGATTGCCATGTCGCACTAGGCGATACTTGGTCAGCCTTGTAGGGTTTTCTGTTCTGATCTGATGTCACTGCCGATCTGAGACTGGTCTCAGGTAGCAAGGCACAAGGCACAATTGAACAAGAGATAATATCATATCAACAGTGCCTGTTGCCTGGCCATTAGTTTCTTAGCCATTTGAATGAAACATTGAGATGTACGCTTTAGGTAGAAGCGAATATAGCTTTGTTCAATTTTCCTAGCTTTTTTCCACTTTATCTTGAGGCTGAGACTGGAGTCGCGACATGCACAGCCTCCCGGGTATTGTGCATGCATCAACAGGATAGGACCTGACAACTGTTGTCGATCGCAACCCCGTCCTTTGTTATGCAACTATGTTGGGGGCCATTATTGCCAATGACATCGGTAGGCTTCTTCTTTTTTTGGTACAGGTAATTATATTCAAGTTTGATATCGTTGATGTGATTTTGTAGTCTGCTGAATTAAAGCCATTATGCCGTACATTCCGTTTGGTGGCCCGGGAAGAGCTCGTTGTGCTTAGCACCAGTCCAGGTATTTTTGGCTCTTTTGTGCGATGTACTCGTTTTGGCCACTATGGTTTTGGTGTGATTGCATAGGGATGGAATGTCGGTAACAATGGCTACATCGGAGCTGAGAAAGAGTCTCAGTTCAATACCGCTGGCGATAGCATGATCCAAACGTGACGTTGGAGAGCATGCACGGTACTGAACATGTACATACATACAGTACGTATGCATCTCTCTGCACTCTGCAGCACACATTCTCCAGTTTTCCAGGTGCTGTCCTGTGATATGTTGTAATGCGTTCTTTATTGGGCAACCATTGCGCAACTTGTGGAGGCCGAACTCGAAATCGTGATGAGCTGATCTAGCCTAGTCGAAGCTTGACAGCTCATCCAGGACGAACTTTATGACCGAATCCAGGCTTGAGGCTGTGCATGTCTTATTGAAGGGTCAAAAGCTTGTTTGGTGTTGTCTGAAAGATACGAGTTGGATTGAAGCTGTGGCTATGCATTTAATATTATCGAACGATGTAAATTTCAGCTTATCGTCAAGTTGTCCAATGGTTGTCGCCGTATTGATGTTTCTTTTCTTTTCTTTTCTCCAGACTAGGAATCAATTATCAAGTCAGCCTCTTGGTTTGAGATTCAGAGATGGAGCACGTGAGCATTAATCGCTATTAGTGGTCTTCCCAAATTCGAGGCCATAAAGATTTGCAGGCCTAAGGCATCCATGAAGTAACGGTATATACAGTTGATATAAGCATAATCTATAATAAGCAACACTGAAGAAAATATCAACGTGAATGGTACATGTCAATCGAAATTTATCACATCTTAAGTAAATCAAGAAGGTATTTTGGTCAAGTGCCCATGCTTAAGTACCCGTGACCGTGACATGGATTGCAGCGCCCATGACACCTTCTGCCACTAAACTGGATCAAGCCTCATATCATCCTTTCATCCTCACTTAAGAGAGCCTGTTCTATCATCGGCTACAAGCGGTCGGGGAGAACAAACCATCGTCGTCGCTCGCTTCAAAGACAGACTCTTGTCTGCCAGTTACTTCAAACGTATAGTTGTCTCAGCGCCGAGGCGCCACAGCTTGACCGCCATGTTCCAGGTTTGTAGCCAAAAACGTAGCCAAACACTCGAGAGCCACCTGGTTTACTGAGCATACTTTTGGATACAGCCCCATCCGGACGAAAGCTTTCACCTGCGCCTCCACAGGGCGCGATCTGTTGTGTTGACAACACAAGAGTAAGTGGGACGGAGTGGCTCACCCACAGCCGACATTCCCGCGTCGAGTAGCCCCAGCCAGGAATATCGACAGACCACTGACATACATAGACTTGTTGAAATTCGAGCCGCTCAGCGTACCTTTGAAGGCGCATATGTTCGTACAGCTCTCGGCCAATTCTCGTTCGCCCTCATTATCCTCAAGGTCTTCACCGAAGAGTTCTACGCCATAGGCGCGCTGTTCGCTGTGTATGGAGTCGCCGTTATGTTGGTTGCCATCTACCGTCGATACGAGGGCCAGAACCAGTTCTTCACGTCAGAGACTGCTGATGGTTCCTTGAAGAGAAAGTTTAGGACGAGTGGGAATAGTGTGCTGTTGCTAACCGTGCTGAGTCTGAGTGCGTATGTCACATTGATGATTTTGACATGGCGTCTAGTATCATAATGTCGTTGTGTTGCTCCGGTGTTTCATATTGTTTCCGCCTTTGGGATGGCTTCTATGACCGCTATTATATTGGTTCAAATCAAGATGTAAATAGAACACAATGGCGGTTTTATGAACAAGCTTTTGGATGGTGCCTATCTCATTGATCTTGGCTGATTCTCAGGCCACATCTATTTAAGTTACCACCCGTACTTAACACGTAATGTTGCTCAATTGTATAACTTCAAGTTTTGTGAATGAATCTGATTAAATCATGTTAGTATCAAGTCAACACTTGTGGCCAAGTCAAATCACGCATCAGGCCAGAAAACATAAATTGTGGGAGTGGTATATGTAATATTATCCAAGTCTCAGTCCTGCTGCATTGCTTGGGACTGGTTGATAACCCAAAGCTCTAGACTGATCATGTTGCTCGCCCTCCCTTAACACACATCTGGAACCTTCGGGCTATGCACCATGATCGGGATTGGACCCGTTGATGATAGCTAAAACCATTTGATATTTGCTCAGAAACAAAAGGACCAAATCACTTCAACGAAGGAACCTCCTATCAGATACAATGGCCAATCTAGGCCAGCGTAATAATTGTATATCATTAATATTACAGTGCATATAACCTCCACGTTGAGACGCCAAAAACTAAACAACATTCGCTTCGTTTCCAACCATGCACCTAATATATCTGTTATCCTGCATGCTATTGTTATTGTGACTGATATAAGTTCATGAGTGGCGCGTTGTTCATAACTTGCTGCCCATCATTGGGAAGCTGGAGCCCATGATCTTGCCCCCTATTCGCCTGCGACCAGTCGTGACCGTAGGCTTCATGGCCTTTCATATATGTGTAGTCGGTGTATGCGTTTGTTTGGTCCCACGTTGTGTAGTTCGCAGGGGGTACTGCCCCGGGTGGAAAGGGTATTGGTGTGTTCACGTTCGAGCCATCAAACCCAGGAACCACACCATTCATGGAAGTGGTGTATGCGTCGGACAAGGCAGATGATCTTCGCTCGAATTGGCGACCGGGGGCCATCAAAGAGTATTGAGAAGGGTGATTGTTGTTGAGGGGCTCTCCCCCGTACGACATGGACCGCGCCGGTGGTGCAAAATGACCCCAAGCCGTATCAACGTTTCCTTGAGGTATAGATTCAGAGGTCCCAGGTGGCCAGCCAGACGGAGATTGTGCTACAGATGTAAATGGCGAAAATTGCGTGCTCATTGGCGACCCTGAGGCATATGTTTGCCATGGCGCACTTAATTCTGACGATGTGCTTGGGCTCTGATCAGGTGCCGTGATCATCCAGCTGGCTGATGTCTGGTTGGACGTTTCAACAGGAGTCTTACTTGAGGGAGATGGTAGTGAAGCTACATCTAGCTGTTAATATGGCTTCTGAATTAGAACAAAGACAAGTGACAAACCTATCGTCTGAGGTTGGAACCCCATAGCTCCAGTGGCGTCTCCCGTCGTCGGAACAGTAATAGGGAGCGGCCTTTTTGCCGATGGAACGAATGATGGTTTCGCCTTTTTAGATTGTTCCACCGGTTTGCTAATGGAAGTTGCTGGAGAAGATGTTGTTGAGTTCCCCTTTGCTCCTGTGGATGCCTTGGACCCCTGCCTACCCCGTGAATCATCGATAGACCCTTGGTCCACTGGAAAGAAACTGCACTCTTTCTTCAATCGAATACAGTTGATACATCTCCCTTGTGTATCATTAGGTGAAGCGATGCACCTGATCTTCCGACGCCGACAGTGACCTTGAAAGACAGTTAAGATGCATGTACTCAACGGCGGTAAATTTCTCGACTCACCACAAGCGACCGACGTACGGTGGTAGCCTAATTTGTTCCTTTTCTTCTCGCCCACGCTTCCATTTTGTTGCTGCTGCTCGTCGGCCTCCGTAGCAAGTAAAGAAACACTATTTGGTGCTGAGTGTACCCCCTTCATTTCTATACCATGCTGTTGGCTCAGTAGAGAAGCTTGCTGATCAACCGTCGGTAAAGACGAAAGTTGCTGTGAAGGAATTGTGTATGAGGGTATAAAGCTCGGAGGCGGCGGCATTCCCATCTCATTATCATTGGAGTGCAGTGGTGGATAATGGTAAGACATAACGTCAACCATAGAAAGTGGCCCAGAAGATGAAGTCTCCCAAGAATTAGCAACACCAAACAGGTACGGGTTCGAGCAGTCGGACGGTGATATAGCGACAGCCATGGACGAGATGTTGTCGATGTAAATACTAATGGTGGATTTGTCTGGACAATCTCAGCCTCTGGAAAGTACGAGACAGTGACAACGGGCTGAAAAATGATGATGTTGTAGGGTATATCCAGGCCGAAGGGTTCCGCAAGCCGTTTAACGCAACCGTAAAATCCACAGAGTGAAAGCAGGCATTTATCGAACAGTTTCTCAGAGATCGAAGAAAGAGTTCGGGTCGCCTCTCGTCCTATTATAAGGACCGAGACACACGATGAGGAAAGAGATGGCGCCCCAAATGGTAGCGATGACAAGATCAGGGTTATGTCCAGCTCAAAATGTGGTCCATGGTATGTTTTTGACTGGCTTCTGGTCCTAAGACGATCGACTTCTAGGGTTGACACAGACAAGGGTCTACTCTCTTAAAGATAATGTATCTAGCGGCAACTAAATCATGGGCCAGGAAAGGGGGGGCGTCTGGGGTGTGAAGGATACAGATCGAGTCGGAGGGTAAACCGACCTAGGAGGTTTAGCTTACAGCTTAGCAGGTGCCCTTGTGGATCTACGACTGCTAAGTACCGACGACTAAAATGGTGGATAGTAGATGGATGGCGACAATTGAGTAGTTAGAGCGCCACCGAGATGTTATATTGGCTCAAAGTCAGTTAGGTGCAACATGAGCGACCTGAGCGGTTATCGACAGGTTGGAGATCGATGATCTCCGGCACTCTTCTTCAACCCGATGCCCTTCTTTTCTTCTCTGGTCTATGCTATGTGGCAGTGGTTAACACTCCTGCAGAAGTACATAATGTAGGAGCACCATTAGTCTGTTAATGACAAGCGGCCAAGACATTCCTGCTCCAAGACCGTGGGCGGTGATGGGCCAGCACAAGTGCCAACAGGGTATCCACGATCAAAGCCAAAGGTTAAGATCCTGGAAGTTAACAGGGGGTGGTTAAGAGAGCAAACCACATTTGCTTTTCAGGTGGTTCTTCAACAGGCGCGGGGGACACAGTACAGTAGCGTAGATCTCTCGATACTTTCCAAGAAGTACAATAGGCATAGGCGTGGACACCTGAGGTGTTGAACTTGTCGGGAGAAAACAGTATGGATTCAGTAAGTTCGTGGATAATATCAAGCCTGTGGTCTTTTGGAGTTTAGGAGGTCATGTCTTGAGTCCCAGAATGCGGTGGCCCCAACCTCCACTGAGATGCGTTCGGTGATGGTGGTTGCGGAGGAACCTGGCCAGCAATTCAATTGTTCTTGCCTGTGAGGCTTACTGTACGAGGCCATGACCCTTGTGTGTATACGAATGCCGGGACCGGGGCGCCAGGGCATCGAAGCCGGGGCCCCGACGCCTTGCTAGGAGGTATATGAGCATGGGCATCAGTGTTGACGTGAGTGATGCTCCCCTAGTCACCCTCCTGCATCAGTCCCAGCAATGCCAACCTGTCTTTGGATATTGGTGTGAACTATTGACAGTGCGGATATGCCAAAGGTTTGATTCAGTAGGCGGTTGGGGAGGGAAAAAAGAACATCAGAAGTCATGCTTGCCCAGCCAAGATCTCAAATGGTTAGGAGCACTTTTGATAACAGGGCTCGAGGTCAAAATCCCAGCAAACAAATAGAATGTCCCGTCCCAACTGTACATTACATATGGGGACAGAACATTGTCATCGGAGAGTTGGTCCATGGTCCCTGAAGTGGCCCTCTGATCTGATTCGTGCCATAGTGATATCGAATTGGGGCGTTACAAATACAGTATATTACGTCTCAGCTCAGGTACGGTTACCCCTTCTCTCCACTTGTTGATATGTGCACGTACTAGTATTTCGACACCGGATGTTGGATCCTAGAGCCCGCCGACCCGATTTAGGAAAAGGAAGAGAAAAAAGCAACGTTCAGGTTGTGCTAAAAACGACTAAGTAGCTTTGCACACTCGGACATCACCCATGAGGGAAAGAACCTGGTCTCAGTGCTGTTAAATACCTACAGCCAACCTTTTTTTTTTTTACCCTTTCTTGTCGCATGTCTACTCTTTTGAGAAACCAAGAGGATTGAATCATGTCTTGCGAGAGTTCTTGTTCCTTTGAGATCTGCCTACCTCAATTGCGTACAAGGCCTGAAATTGTGGCACAGGTACATGACATCCCAGCTGAAGTTGGCATCGACCAAGTTGTGGGTAAGCAAAGTGATTGATATCCGCAAGATCAACCCAATGCGGTAACGGGGTCGAAAAACAAGGTTCAGCCAGAACGCAAACCACTCACTGGACGTTATGGGTGAGGAAGGTCAGTTCTCAATTTGGAGACAAATATTTGCTAAGCAGTACCCTCCTTGGTTGACTCCGGCTCGAGGATGCATGTCTGTGCGTCGATAATACCTCCGTGTCTGTTCTGACAGCTTCACAGAGAGGCAGGAGATTATCATGAAGCGAATTCGCTTGGCAAATGTCGCTTGCCGGGGTACTGAACCTATCGATATTGCAGATCTCCTCAAATTTGTGGGGACCACATCAGAAAGCACAATTGAGTGTACCTTGGTTTCCAACCGAAAGAGCCCCAAAATAATGGCACAAGATTGCAGAGCCCTTGCGCAGGATCCCCGGCAGGCAGGCAAGGTAACATAGGCTGCCTGTCAAGATATCGAAGTCTCAAAATGAGTCCGCACAAATGCGGCAATTGGCTGGGTAAGGTACTGGATGCGTTGCCTGCAGGTAGAGACATGCAGAAAGTGATATTCGCCGATGTCACCTAGCCTTTTGAGTGGTGCCCAAACGGATTTCTGGTAAGGTCCATGCTGGCGCTGTCTTGGATGAGAAGCAAGCGGATCATATCTCTCCTTCCATCCATGTTGGGCTTTGCTATGCTGACTACCTACCTATGTGAAAGAAGACCGGGGGTCGGTATAACCAGGCACGGCCCGATTTGTCCTCGGAGAAAACGATCGCCTACTTTGAAGAATGATAAAGAAGTATTGATTGATGCTGGATTGTGGGAATTGCACGGGATGGCTAGAATGTTCAGATTTGCTCGGTAGATATCCGTACTCCGAGTCGATCTGGGGAGACTCCCGGCGCTAAGATGGCACTGGTCGGCGCGACGTCTGCGATAGTTGCTTGTGTAATTAGTGGCAGTAAATATAAAGCTAAAAGCGACTGTGTCAAACTTGACGAACTGCCTACCTAGAGAGGCTATCGTTGACTCAGATAAAAGTCGGTGTTAGGAGATAAAACAGGCCACGGCCATCGCCACTACGAGTTAAACAAAGACAGACAACAGGAGACAGCCTGGCCTGCCTAACTAAAATGTCTTGAGCAGGAGCCCACCCAATCATAGAAACATGGTTAATACTCGGCAACATCAGACAGCTTGCTTTTCTTGGCAGGGACTACCTAGGTAGCCCACCCACTGATTGACGGGAATCTATGCTCCCGCAGGTGCACGTGCCTTGACGTGCACTGAACTTCCTATTCGGGTACGCACAGATCTCCTTAAAAGCCCGTCTTGCCTGCGCTATCTCTCTTTAGTTTCTCCACTTCAGCTGCTATTTCTCCACTATCCTCGTCAAGTGCCGACTCACCAATAACAGTCAGTACCTCGGTGGTTTCAATTTGATTCTCTCCAACATTAAATGATTTGTGAGACGCTCGAGGAGTCGGTTGGGAGCTACAACGACAATTATATGCAGTGATGTATCGTCTTCGCCACCCCCAAACGATTTCAGAGTCATTATTCCTCCCACCGACACCCAACAAGTGGCGCTACGATAAAACATTGTGCTGAACAAGCTACATATGTCAAACTCCGCTGTCAACTGAATCAAATACCTAAAAAGCATCAGAGTGCCTCACTCACTCTTGCCAGATATTCCAACCAATCCAACCTCCCGGGGGATATCGCCGGTGAGGTACCATAGGCCACATCGTTTAAATATGCTCCATAACAAAGAGACGCCAAACTTTCAACTAGAGGTTAGCATGTTCAATCTAGAACAACTCTCATCGTCATACCATTGTTGCTCTGACTTTACGGGGTCCAATTGTGTACATCAGGGCACCAGATCTGGCGGAAGGCTTGCGCCCCCAGATCCCAGGCATACAACGCATATTGACTGTCTCTCACGACCCAACCAACTGTCACAAATTCGAGAGATGGTAAAACAAAATCTCCAATCGGAGCCTGTTGCATCAGACGCCAAGCTCAGATGTCTTGGAAACACCCAAAAAGCTTGCGAAGTCGAAAATAACGTCGACGTGTCGGTCTACAAGTGATACAAGATGTAGGCTAGATGCCCACATCTCACACTGGTTTCGGGAGTATTGTGTGAGCTGGGATAATACTATGAGAGGCAATGGCTCTTTTTCGCTTTCTTTTTTGCTGTATCACACAATATGCCCCCTTGCAAATTATGCACAGTTACCGGTTGACTGATCGTGAACTAATAGAGAGGAATTCGTTATCAAAATGAGACTAGGTTGCGAGTTTCCTATGTGTCGGGACCGAGACCCTTGCAGCAAACCTGATTGAAAGCTGCAATGGTTATTGGACTGTAATTTTCCGTGCCCCGTCCTGACAGACAGGTGTTACACAACGTTCAACTCCAGGGATGAAAGGTCTCGAGTTTCACGAGGCTTAACCTAAGTGATGCGATAGCTAGAATTCCAACGAGCCAACCGGCTCCAGGTCGACATTCTTTGTCGTTAAAGAGATAGGTCTAAATGGCATGCACTGGGCGTGCTTTGGTCGCATGTTCACCAATTAGGCATGCCGACTTTCTGCGAACACCATGTGAGAGAGCTATAGTTGATTAGTATCCATTCACAGAATGATCTTCATTCATGACATTAAAGCCGGATCCACTGCCTAGGAAATTTTTCAAGTCTTAAACCCCCGGCCTTGAAACCTTTACTAAAAACTCCCGACAGCTCGGCCATTCTAGTCCTAATGACTGGAGACAGGAACTAAAACTTGTGACCTGCATCTCATGTAGCCATAAGGAGGTCCGAGGTAGTTGGCTTTTTCTTTTTGCATGTCTAAAGTAACGGGATCTATTAATCCGTGTCCTCAGTTGAGTCAGTCAGTATGGTCGAGACCCTAAACGAAGGAAAATTGGCCGCTTCACTTCATATGTGCACAGACCCTAAGTACATATTGAGGCCTACGGTTTGTGGTGGGAGGAGCAAGTTTGAATTATTGCTTGATTCTGGGGACAGATTACGAGATCACTTGACACTGGTTCAGTTACTCTTTTTCTCTATTCCTCCATATACGACGCCCCTCATAATAGCTCAGTTGGTGGCAGCATCATTGCATCCTTCGGTCATATCACTCCGGTCCTTATCAAACAAGCAAGTAGTTACTATTACGCAGGTGAAACTACTCAAGTTGTTGTTCTGGGTCCAGTGTGCCATTGCAGCTCATCGTCTATAGTAGGTAGTCCACCTAGCATTACCGGGACCGCCCCGATTCAAGCACATATGTGGTTGCCATAGACTCTCTTGCGATTTGGCTTTTGAGTCTAGACATGTGTTGTTTGAATCTGAAAGCCAAGGTCTCTTTTTCTCCTATAACTAGGTGATGACACTGTACCATCATGATATCTGATGCCAGGTAGACTCGCTGTAGAGCCAATGAGATCTGACGGAGCCGCCGATCACTAATGCGGTGACTACAGCGTGGCGTGCAACTGTGCCACCTCGCCGCGTTAGTTAGCTTGATACCCATTCCTCGTTGTTTTTAAGGTGACGGATATGAGATTGAGTTTTCTGCTTTCCAGCGCCATGAGATTGGTCAGGGGATGCAGGAACGAGGAATTCTTGAGCCGCTAGAAGCCTCAGTTACAGCAAAGTAACGCGCCAGGAGACACGCCTCTGCACTTTGAATGGTATCCGGTTAGGCCCAGATGATGGCTTGAGGGCAAACGGCGAGTGCTGCATCTAACTTGGTTGGGTGTCATACGAAGTTTCTTTTTCTGGCTTTAACAGGGCATTGCCAATGGCTCGGCCGAGTCTCGGAACTGAACCACAAGGTCAGGGTATGATGAGTACCTGTTACGAAATTCATTCCATCCAATGTTACACGACTCATGTCTTCAATTCGTCTAGGGTAACTCAGACTCGCATATCAAGATGCACCACTGACTGCGATATTCACTCGTATCAGTCTTGCCAATGTCTCTGTTGCATCTTGTCAATCTCGTCTAAATTCCAGACCATTTCTTTCTGGATGGTATGGTGAAAGCATTGAACTAAAACAGGCACTGGAGACCTCGAAGTAGGGTGTGCAACGTTTAACTCTTACATAGCAAACTCAAAGATGATGGGAAGCCCGGTATTGGGAAACCCTTCAGTTATGGTTAATTAGCTGATCACCATGGCACTACACGCATTGAATTGAATCGGCCCGTTTAATTGCTAGAAAATGTATGATGAATCTCGAAGCCAGCTGAACTTAGGATTTCCGGATGGTGCTCAGAGAGAACTTGATAGTCCTATCAGATGATGGTGTGGCCAGAAACTTAACCGGCTGACTAAAGGCAACTTATCAATAGAAATACACACAAAAGTAAAAGGTTAGTATTAATTATTTCCATTTATTAGAGGTGTGTGGTATTGTAAGTAAATGGTTAACTAGTTGATCGTTTAGTTTCGAGCTAAACGTCAGTAACAGAGCAGCATTGTAAGTTGAAATAGTGTACCTAGAGGTAGGTATACAGAGCGATTCGAGGTGAAGCTAAGTAAAACTGAGCTTAGTGATAACCACCCCTCAAACTACCTAACAAGGCAACCTGCAAACACATGCATTGTAGCTACTAAAGTTGCTCGCACAAGTACTCGTTGGCTTATTGTTAAACGACTCCCTACAAATACCGAGGACTAATGTCACAATCAGTATCTATCATGTGTAAGTGAAAAGAAGAAAAGACATAGACATGGAAAGAGAGAAAGATGCACTGTGAAGAACCGTAGAATACCCCGACGCCATACAGTGCTGGTGATATATCAGTCGATATGCACTGTGCCCCAGTAATTATAACCACAAACTGAGTTGGTTGGATCCTTGGTAATAGAGGCTGACGTTGTATCGCACGACTACCATCACAAGTTGCACGCAAAAGACGGACATTGCTACTGCTTGATATCTACTATCGATAAGCTGCACCGCTGGAACTTGAGTTACCTCTAGCACAGCATAGCACAACGAGCGTCAGCAAGAAAGCCACCGCCATTTTTTGTTTTGTATTTTGCTTTGCATTGGCAGTGCGAATGGAACCTACGTCATCTGCACCTGCACAGCCGTAGCTACAAGTACCTACCTACCTAGGCATCTAACATGAGCGACCTGCAGCGAGCATGGGCTAAAGCCAAGTTAGGCATATCTAATGATGGCTTCGATGAGCTCCAAAAGGAGCAGGATCAAGATGTACTCCCCGAGTTGCCAGAGCCTGTCGACGATGACTCCTCCTCCGCCTCGTCAGCCTCGTCTGTCTCATCAACTGGAACCATCATCCCCTCGCCCAACCAAAAGCTGTTCGCTCGACCTCAAGGGTAGTTAACAATCACATTTGATATCGAGTAAAACATCACGGGACTGACAGGCAATAGAGTCGCCCGTGGCAGGACCCTGGAGCAGATTCCCTGGACGACTTACTTTGAACGCGAGGTGTCGTTGAAGTCGGAGCAAGATCCCGAAGTCATTTACCATGCTTATCTGACATCACCCGTGGGAAAGGGGCCATTGTTTGTGATGCACCATGGAGCTGGTTCATCTGGACTGTCATTTGCTGTTGTGGCTTCTCAGATAAGAAAGCGCATTTCGACAGCTGGTATTCTGGCCTTGGACTGCAGGGGTCACGGCTCGACATATGCCCCCGAAGACAAAGCTTTCGACATGAGATTGGAAACGCTCTCATCAGATCTGTTCAATGTTGTCCAGCTCACAAAAGCTGAGATGTCATGGCCAGAGATGCCCCCGATAGTGCTCGTGGGACACTCCCTAGGAGGAGCAGTCGTAACTGACCTGGCCAAGTCCGGGAAATTGGGCACATCAGTTCTGGGCTATGCAGTGCTTGATGTTGTTGAAGGGTCTGCCATAGATGCACTGCAAAGCATGCACACCTACTTATCTACAAGACCCCTGGGCTTTGCGACACTGCAGGCAGGTATCGAATGGCATATTCGATCGCGGACAATACGCAACTCCATATCTGCTCGCACTTCTGTCCCTGCGCTGCTAGTCTTCAACGAGAACGACGACCCAACACGGCCATGGAGATGGCGGACCAACCTGGGTGCTACGCAGCCTTACTGGGAGGACTGGTTCGTAGGACTAAGCAAGAAATTCTTGGAGGCTAGAGGAGGAAAGATGCTTTTACTCGCCGGAACGGATAGATTGGACACTGAGTTGACCATTGGACAAATGCAAGGTACGTTTGGATGCAGCCTTGTTGACTGTTCATGCTGATCGTAATAATAGGAAAATATGCTCTGCAGGTGTTTCCTGAGGCTGGCCACTTCATCCATGAGGACTTGCCGGAAAAGACGGCAGTGTCGTTGGTCGACTTCTTTCGCAGAAATGACCGCACTGCTCTCGTGCTTCCTCCGAAGGTATCCGATCTTATCAGGCAAGGGAAAATAGTATGAATCGAGTCACCGCTAGACCGGTAAAGTTGAACGGAGCTGCTCACAACGTCGCCTTCATTAAACTTCGTTCATGGACGCATCAACAGACAATGTCCCGAGAGCCGGGTTACGACATTGACTGTACACCGAAAGTGGGTATGGCAACACGAGGCTTCACAAGTAATGACACGATGCCTGCATGTTACTCACAACTCAGAGATCGTTGGTACGGAATAGAATTTGATACAAACAAACCTAGATGGCTGTTGAGAGTACTGTGGGATACATAAATGATGGTGGCGGCGGCGTCTATTGAGCAGGCACTAAAAGGTAGTTAGTCTTTGATCGACAACCGGGCTGGACCCTCAAATAGAGTTGGGAATTGACACGCTAGAACAGTCAATAGTGATGGCGAACAAACATATTCGGAAGTTCAAGACGTTATGCTTCAAGCCTCCATATTTGCCGCGATGTGCCTGATGATGCTTTTCCATTTTTGATATGCTCGGGCCCTCGGCAGACCCTCAGGGGATCACAAAACTATACTGCTGGAAGTGGAGGAGACAAAATCAATGAGCTGATTTATGTGGTTGCAGAGCTAGTTCTCGAGCCATTTGCTTTTACGGCTTCAACCTTGGAGGTCAACTTTTCTATTACCCCCTAACTTAGTAGGTATGGTCAATAGCGCCACCGCTATCGAAAGAGGCTAGCTCGGTATCTAGGCTGTTAGTGTTTGTTACTTGTTGAAATATGAAACGACTACCTTGCGGTTATGATATAGATGTAACAACCACCCAGTGTTATACTCTAAAGGAACGCTCCTGTACATCACCTACTGTACATCGTTTCTCAGCTCTCTTGATGTTAATCAATCCAATTCGATTTATTATATGGCTTCATCGATGTTTCGGCATGGATCATTGCTCCGCAAGGCTCAGCTCGAGCCTCTTACAAGGTCAACTACCACCTAATCTAATTTAACTTGGTGGGAGTCCGAGGACCCTCATCGGCGGTCAATCCTCCGAGATGGTCTGGAATATGGGGAAGCAGGGAGGCAACAATTGGCTGCCCAGCGATCTGCATAGCAACTGGGGCACATTGGCATGTTATTCTTCGCCGCCAAAGTGTTTCCGAAGGACTGGGCTGGGCTGGCGCCCGCTGGCTCCCCGTCTCACGTACCTACATTAATGTAACTAGGCCCTGATAGGCACTGTGAGCTTATTTAGTTGAAAAGGGAATTGTCTTAAAAAGGGAGAGGGGAGGCCATACTTTATTCTTTAGACGCGCGTACCAGCTTTATTCTACTTTACATCCTCTCGTTCGTTGTCTTCTGTCTTTCGCTTTCTCTTTCGTTATCATTAATCCACCGATTACCGAATAATCACCATGAAGCTGTCTCTCTTCGCCTCCGTCGTTCTCGCTGGCCTTGTTGCTGCTCAGCAAGAGAAGCTTCCCAAGTGTGCTGTATGTCGCATTCTCTCTGGGAGCTGCCGATGACTAGTACATCGGATGTCGCCACACGAGAACCCTTGCTAATCTATTATCTGTGTCTTTAGCAACCCTGTGTTGACCAGTACACCACCGGCGGCGGCGTCGCTGGATGCGGCCAGCTTGACATCAAGTGCATCTGCAGCAACCAGAACTTCCTCTCTGGAATCGCCTGCTGTCTCGACGAGAAGTGCGATACCGTGGGCAAGGAGACCGCCGTCAAGTACGCCAAGCAGATCTGCGCAACCGCTGGCGTGACCGACCTTCCCGACGACGTGAAGTGTGACAAGAGCGCCGCGTCTGGCACCGCAACTGGTGCTACCACCCCTACCTCGAGCGACAGCAGCAGCACGGCCTCGGCCACTGGCGACAGCGCCAGTGTTGACAACGCTGGTTCGCGCGAGGGCGCTGCTGGTTTCATCGGTGTCGGAATGGCTATGCTGCTTGCCCTGTAAGAGACATATGGGATTGGTTTGAGCTGAGCGTTTGCCCTCATCAAGAGGAGGGATGTAATGATAGTGGGTTATAAGCAAAGCCCGCTGGCTGTTTTTTGTTCTGTTCTATGAAAAGAGCTGAGCTATGGAGTTTGAAACTATGTACCACTACTACGCGGTCGTCACAAAGCTGTCATTATTGACAGTAGCAATGATATAGCCTGGTGATCTTTTATATCAATTCAGCTATTATTTGCTGGCTATCAATTTACTTTCTTCTATAGAAATGTGTTTGTGTCTCTCATGTTGATTGTATCAACTTGGTTGATTCGGAGTACTTGCATCATCATCACCATTCGAGGTCTATCGAATCCCGGTTGGTTGTTGAACCTTGACAGAAGAACGGACCAAGAGATTTTCGTATACAATCTACCCATTGATAATGAATGATTCCCTGATGGTAAAGCGGGTTTCGATGAAAAGAGATATGGATGCTCTTTGATAAACGAAGACGCCCCGGCCAAAGACCCCACTAACAACGTCACTGGACGACGGTGAGCAGTGAGAACAACCCCACCATGCAAGAGCTCTCTCGAAGAATGGTCCAAATCTCTCTCCACCATCATACGTGAATCTTACACTCGTGTTGACCGCGCATACCTCGAAAATGGCTCCCAAGACAATCATTGCCCCCTCTATCCTGTCGGCTGACTTTGCTCAGCTTGGCCATGACTGTGCCCGCACCATGGAGCAGGGCGCGGACTGGCTCCATGTCGACATTATGTGCGTTACAGCTCAACAATAAAGAAATTGCTATCATACTGACTTGATAGGGACGGCCACTTTGTTCCCAACATCACTTTCGGTCCTCCTATCGTTGCTGCCATCCGAGGCCACGTTGATCAGCCCACCGAGGCCCACGGTCGGGGCACCTTTGATTGTCATATGATGATCGCAGAGGTAGGCATTACTTCGCGAATGCGAGCATAAGAAATATCGAGAAGCTTACGACGAGTAAACAGCCCAAGAAATGGGTCAAGGAATTTAAGAAGGCTGGCTGCAACCTTTACTGCTTCCATTACGAGGCCGCCTTCTCAAGCGCCGCCGAGAGTCCCGAGCAACAGACCGACGAAAAGACCAACCCCAAAGCACTCATTCGATATATCCACGACCAAGGGCTATTGGCTGGTATTGCTATCAAGCCCGATACCTCTGTCGATGTGTTGTGGGAGATCTTGGAGAACAGTGAAGAGAAGGAGAGACCTGATGTAAGTCTGGCTCGCTTATCCACCAAGCATACGCTGACCTACAACTATAGATGGTTCTTGTTATGACCGTATACCCCGGTTTTGGCGGCCAAAAGTTTATGGCCTCCGAGTTGCCCAAGGTCCAGGCCCTGCGCAAGAAGTACCCTGAGCTCAACATTGAAGTCGATGGTGGTATCGGACCCAAGACAATCGATGAGGCTGCCGATGCCGGCGCCAATGTCATTGTTGCAGGAAGTGCTGTTTTCGGAGCCAATGACCCTTCCGAGGTTATCGCGCAGTTGCGCCAGTCGGTTGATGCTCGAAGTGCAAAGTAAGTTTGTGCTTGACATATTGAAGAGTACCGGGTATAGACAGAAGTTTTTAGCAACGATATGATGAGAGATGAATGAACATGTTAAAATTCGGGTTTTGAGTGTTATGAAGATAGGTCCCCGTCTGATTTATGGCAGAGATCCTAACGTTCTATTTCAGTGCTTCTTTTCGTCCCATTTCGTTACTTTGAGCTGTGGTGAGGTTGCAGTGATGTGGTGAGCTCGAACTTTGACACGCATCTGCAACTTTTAATTTCAGCCTCAATCCATCGTTTAGAAGAGATTTCCTTGATAATATTGATAATTGTTTTTCGACTAGATCTTCATCGTCGTTGATTGACATGAGTACATTATGCTACCCTGTTGCTATCATGGATCAGACGAGGTCCACTATCGGCCCTATCATGATGGCTCATGGAAGCTCATGTTAGCGTCCGTAGCTGTTGCATAGAGGAATTGGTCGAGGAACAGTACAATTGGGTGCAATAGATGTCATAAGAAAAATTGAGTAGTCGAACAACATATTAGGTACGAACAAGAAAGACGAATAGTCGAATGAACTTGTGCCATCAAATTTTAGACGGTCTATCATTGGCACGGTACATAACATGGCCCTAGGATGGGTCGATTTTCGGAACCAAAAATTTCAAAAGATTGACGACGTCAGCCCATTATTTGCGACCAACCTTAACTTTTTCTCAAGTCCCGAATTTATTTCCAACAGCAACCCTTTCTCTTTTCTCCTCGCACAACCTTTAAGATCCAATTCCATTGCGCGAGCTATCATGAAGAGAAAAGCGGGAGCTGTTGCCTCCAAGGTCAACAAGAAAAAGTCAAAGCCTTGTATGCATGGCCAATCGCTCCAGTTCGCAAGCTTCCACTAACAGACTGTCTTAGCTCTCAGCGCTGAAGAAGCCCAGAAGCGATTCCGCGCCGGCCTATTTGATAAGAAGGTCCTCAGGTCATACACGAAAGAGTATGCTCAATCGGAGCCCTACAAACATGCCGTCATCCACGGCCTTGTCGACGATTCCCTCCTCCGATCGGTGCGCAGCGAGATCGAGGCCAACGTTGAGTTCACACCCAAGGAGACCGATATCTACAAGATCCACCAGTCTGGAGACCTTGCCAACCTCGACGGTTTGGACGATGAGTCGCTGGCCAAGCTGCCATCGCTCCTCAAGCTTCGCGACGCTATCTACTCTGAGGCCTTCCGCAACTATGTCTCCCACGTCACCGACTGCGGTCCATTGAGTGGTCGCAAGACAGATATGGCCATCAACATCTATACTCCTGGCTGCTACCTGCTCTGCCACGACGATGTCATCGGCAGCCGCCGCGTCAGCTATATTCTCTACCTGGTCGATCCCGACACGCCTTGGAAGCCCGAATGGGGTGGCGCGCTGCGCCTGTTCCCCGTCCAGGAGCTTAAGGATAAGGAGGGCGAGGTCGCAAAGACCCCTCTGCCTGACGCTACAAAGGTCATCCCACCTGCGTGGAACCAGCTGAGCTTCTTCGCCGTCCAGCCCGGCGAAAGCTTCCACGATGTAGAGGAGGTCTACCGCGCCGAGACTGAGAAGAAGCTCAAAAAAGAGGGCGGTCGCATTCGTATGGCTATCAGCGGATGGTTCCATATTCCCCAAGTTGGAGAGGATGGTTATATCAAGGGCGAGGAGGAGAGGAACGCAAAGAACAGCGGCTTGATGCAGCTCCAAGGTAACCCTGCCCAGTATGACATGCCTCAGCCTCAGGTTATGAAGATTAGTAAGTCAGAAACTAGCAAAGGCTTCGACGAAGCCGATCTCGAATTTCTGCTCAAGTACATGGCTCCCGCATACCTGGTCCCAGATGCTTTGGAGGAGATTTCTGAAACCTTCAACGAGATGTTCGAGATCACTCTTCCGGACATCCTGGGCAAGAAATTTGCTCAGCGTCTCAGAGACTATGTTGAGGCCGAGGAGAAGAAACCCGTGCCGCAAGATACTGCCACAATAGAAAAGAACTCTTTATGGCGCGTGGCCAAGCCTCCTCACAAGGCCCGATATTTGTACCAGCAACCCAAGGGATCTGGAAAGTCTCGTACTTCCAAGGAAGAGTCACCGATTACTGAGCTTCTTGATGTCTTCCTGCCAAGTCGCCAATTTCGCCAGTGGCTTCAGATGGCCACCAAGACAACTGTTGAGAGTACAGACCTCCTTGCTCGCCGATTCCGCCGTGGCCTAGACTATACTCTTGCAACTGGACATGAGGGCAAGGCGCGTGTCGAAATTAACCTTGGTTTCACACCTACGTCTGGCTGGGGCGAGGACGAGGATGAGGAAGAGGAATCTGAGGACGAGCAGAATGGCAAGGAAGTCAAGGGCAAGGGCAAGGGCAAGGGTAAAGCCAAAGCTGCCGAGAAGAAGAAGAAGAACGAGGAGGAGGAGGCTCCTGAAGTCGGCGGACAAGAAATCTTCATGTCAGGCGATGACGATGCCGATGAGGACGCAGCCGTGTACAAGACAGGCGGCGATGAGGACAACATCCTCTTCTTCCAGGCCCCTTCTTGGAACAAGATGACCATTGTCCTCCGTGACAGCGGTGTTCTCAAGTTCGTCAAGTATGTTAGCAAGAGTGCCAAGGGCGATCGATGGGATATCTCTGGTGCTTTCGAGGTTGAAGAAGAAGACGACGACGGTGATGGCGACGACGATGATAAGGAAGAATTCCAAGGCTTTTCGCCGTGATTGAAGAAGACACAAAGATTGACGAGTATAATCTTGCAACGATAGATACCATGACATAAAAGCACGGCAATGATTTAAAGTCTGTTTGAATAATGATGAATTCCCATTGTCTTGTTTCCCAAATTGATGCTTGAAAGTCTTTTAAGACTTAACCGTGGTATCGCTCTAGCCAACTCCCCATATACTCATAATTCCAATATGTACATTTAGATTTGTGAATGGGTTTCATACTCAAATTGCCATCCACACCCGTTTTTCTCTCATAATTCCATAGCCGGTTCTAATTTGTCGTTGAAGAGGCTGGCCACTTCTGATTGTAGTAGCTCTGTGACACCCTGAGCTTCCTGAGTTCTGCCAGACTGTGATAAGTGATTGACAGTGTCATGTCCCAGGAAGGCAAGCCACGAGACAGTGCTCAGTTTGGTAGGCTTGGCCTTCTTAGGCCCAATAGAAGTGACCAATCTTCTAAGTCTCTCCCTATCCTTGAAGAAGTTGAGTGCAGGAAGATGGTCAGGGTGTGTTGGGTGATAAAGGTGAAGATGAGCTCGCTCCAGAAGCAAGGGCTGGGAAAGACGATCAGCCGTAGCGATGTGAGCATCAAAGAGCTCTTCGGATGGCGCGGGTCGACTGTAAGACTCGACGGTGGAGAACCATGATACAGAGCGCCACGAGGAAACCAAAAGATCCGAGAGCAAGGGGCTGGTCTTAAACAATTG